AACCACACTCCCCAGGGAACTTACCACCAGCACACCCAGGAAGCTCACAAACCACCCCGGAAGCTACCACAACAACCAGGAAGTTCCACAAAGCACACCAGGGAAACTTACCACAGCACACCCACGAACTTAAAAAAGCACACCAGGAAGCTACACCGCACTCCCAGGGAAGCTTACCACAGACACCAGGGAACTTTAAAACCAGCACCCAGGAAGCTTACCACAAGCACACCCAGTAAAGCTTACCACCAGCACACCCAGGAAAGCTTACCACCAGCACACCCAGGGAAGCTTACCACCAGCACTCCCAGGGAAGCTTACCACCAGCACTCCCAGGGAAGCTTACCACCAGCACTCCCAGGGAAGTTTACCACCAGCACACCCAGGGAAGCTTACCACAAGCACACCCAGGGAAGCTTACCACAAGCACACCCAGGGAAGCTTACCACAAGCACACCCAGGGAAGCTTACCACAAGCACACCCAGGGAAGCTTACCACAAGCACACCCAGGGAAGCTTACCACCAGCACTCCCAGGGAAGCTACCACCAGCACACCCAGGGAGCTTACCACCAGCACTCCCAGGGAAGCTTACCACCAGCACAACCCAGGGAAGCTTACCCACACACTCCCAGGGGAAGCTTGCCACCAGCACTCCCCGGGAAGCTTACCACAAGCACACCCAGGGAAAGCTTACCACCAGCACACCCGGGAAGCTTACCACAAGCACACCAGGGAAGCTTACCACCAAGCACCCCAGGGAAGCTTACCACCAGCACACCCAGGAAGCTTACCACCAGCACACCCAGGAAGCTACCACAAGCACACCCAGGAAAACTTACCACACACCCCGGAAAGCTACACCAGACAAACCAGGAAAGCTACCCCCAAACCCCAGGGAAGCCTACCACAGCACACCCAGGAAAGCTTACCACAAGCAAAACCCAGAAAGTTACCACCAGCCCCACCCAGGAAGCTTACCACCAAACAAACCCCAGGAAAGCTAACCACCAGCACACCCAGGGAAGCTTATCCACCAGCATCCCCAGGAAAGCCAGCCACCACCAGGACCCAGGGGAAACTTACCACAAGCACACCCAGGAAGCTTACCACCACACACCCAGGGAAGCTTACCACAAAACACACCCAGGAAAGCTTCCACCAAACACACCCAGGGAAGCTTACCACAAGACACCCAGGAAACTTACCACCAGCACACCCAGGGAAGCTTACCACAAACACACCCAGGAAAGCTTACCACAAGCACACCCAGGAAAGTTACCAAGCACACCCAGGGAAGCTTTTCCACCGCAAACACCCAGGGAAACTTACCACCAGCACACCCAGGGAAGCTTACCACCAACAAAACCCCCGGAAAGCTTACCAAACCAGCACACCCAGGAAGCTTACCACAAGCACACCCAGGAAAGCTTACCACCAGCACCCCAGGGAAGCTTACCCCCAGCACACCGGAAAGCTTTCCACCAGCACACCCAGGAAGCTTACCACAGCACCCAGGGAAAACTTACCACCAGCACACCAGGAAAGCTTTCCACCAGCACACCCAGGGAAAGCTTACCACAGCACACCCAGGGGAAAGTAAAAACCCAGGCACACCACCCAGGAAGTTACCACAAGCACACCCCGGGAAAACTTAAAACCCCCAAAATCACAACCCCCGGGAAAGCTTACCACCAGCACACCCAGGAAGCTTACCACCAGCACAACCCAGGGAAGCTTACCACAAACACACCCAGGAAAGCTTACCACCAGCACACCCAGGGAAGCTTACCACAAGCACACCCAGGAAAGCTTACCACCAGCACACCCAGGGAAGCTTTCCACAACACACCCAGGAAAGCTTACCACCAAACACACCCAGGAAGCTTACCACCAGCACACCCAGGGAACTTACCACCAGCACACCCAGGGAAGCTTACCACCAGCACACCCAGGGGAAACTTACCACCAGCCACCCAGGTAAGTTACCACAAGACAACCAGGAAGCTTACCACCACACACCCAGGAAGCTTACCACCAGCCACCCAGGGAAGTTTTCCACCAGCATACAGGAAGCTTAAACCCCCAGCACACCCCAGGAAGCTTACCACCCACCCCCAAAAAGCTTACCACCAGCACACCCAGGGGAAACTTTCCACAGCACACCCAGGGAAAACTTAACCCCCAACACAACACGCCATGGAACTACCACCACACTTCGGGAAACTTACCACACACAAACCACGGGTTACCACCACAAACCCCCGGGAAGTTTCCCAGAAACCCCGGGAAAAAGGCCAAGGAAAGTTAAACCAGCCACCCGGGAATTTACCCCAAAAATAGGGGAACCCTTCCACCCTCCACCTCCTGGGAAGTTACCCCAAGCCTTCCAGAATTTCACCTCAGCAAATTTACACAGGATGACCCTTTCCCGCACCCAGCACCCGCGGAAGTTACCAACCTCCCCACCCGGAGCTTCCAAGGACACCCCGGAGGCTTTCCAATCAGCCCCGGAAGTTGCACAGTGAGGACCTTCCAGCATCTCGGAGCCTCGCTGGAATGTTGACACAGTGAGTGACCTTCCAGCATCTCGGAGCCTCGCTGGAATGTTGACACAGTGAGTGACCTTCCAGCATCTCGGAGCCTCGCTGGAATGTTGACACAGTGAGTGACCTTCCAGCATCTCGGAGCCTCGCTGGAATGTTGACACAGTGAGTGACCTTCCAGCATCTCGGAGCCTCGCTGGAATGTTGACACAGTGAGTGACCTTCCAGCATCTCGGAGCCTCGCTGGAATGTTGACACAGTGAGTGACCTACGACTCCAGAACCTGCCATCATATTTACATCTATATGACAACAGAAAAATAATTAAGAAAGAGTCAATTCAAATCAGGGGACGGGTGAGGCTTGAATCCATGGCAAGTGAGTGATAACAGGACAGTGCGTTAACCACTGGGCCAGCTGGCTCTGTGCCTGTGAGTTTTAGGACACACTCGCCATGGGTTCACATCCGACCTATTCCCTGATTTGTTTGCAGTTGCGTTATCACGATTTCGTGAGTCGTAAAGGCAGCTCAATATCACTTTTTTTTTTTGGCAAATATACAGAGTTTTAATCCATCCATCAACTACATCAAGCCGCCAGTTAGAGGACTACTAACGGAGACAAACACAGTTTTTGCATCTTTCTCAAACACTAACAAAAAAAGATCATTTTGACAAATTAGTATAGATTTCATGGCACAACTTCACTGGATGCGGCGGGAAGAAGAGATAACAAGAGGGGAGTGTCCTGTACTTCGAGAGTCGTTCATTTGCACAAAGTTGCTGAACATCACGAGTGATGTAGATGATGTTTTGGTATTAAATTTGAGAACAAAAAATCTAGTCGTTGTATCTGCATATAATTCGTCGGACATAACTTACCAACAGCTCAAGGAAGATTTTGAAAGCTGTATGAAATCTATCAAACCTAACTCCAAATATCTTTCAGTTTGGGATATATAATATGAAAGAATGTATCAAATAATTTAAAAGTAAATATAATATCAGAGGGCAGCACAAACGAACATTCACACGCAAATGAACTATTGAAATTCTGTAATATATTTGCTGTAGGATAATAAATATTGAAGTCGACAAGACCACAAAGTTTCCGCTGGTAGATATAAAGGTGAAGGAACCAGTTTTCGAAAGAAATAATTAAACCAACACATTCCTTATTACACAGTAGCAGGCTGTAATAGGAGGGTGGATTGTGTCATCAGTATACCATTGAATGTGCCATCAATTTATCGTCAAGTGTGTCATCAATTTATCAAAGATTCTATTCAAATATCTGTTAAAACTCTTGGGCATCAATCAGTCACACACACATTTAAGGTATTCTGGTAATTTTCTCAACTGCATGTGATAATCAACATCAGAAACAAGAAACACTCCAGACGTGACGTTCCTGTTTGAAGATTGAGACACTTATGCAACCTATGGGAATCTTTATTCAGGAAACGTTTCGCCACAAAGTTTCCTGAATAAAGATTCCCATATGTTGCATAAGTGTCTCAATCTTCAACTTGTCGGTTTTCCAAACCATTCATCACGTTCCTATTTACTCAAGTCCACTGTAGCACAAGCCATCGTTCTCCTACGACGAAAAGCTGATGACTGACTCGATCTTCTTGATGCAACCAGCGAGTCTGTAGATCTTAGGAAACTATCAGTTGATTTTAACTGTTTCTATCCTTTAAAATCCTTTCTTTTAACAGGCTTTCGGCCTACCAATAGATTCACCAGTAAGTGATCGTCTGGTGAACCTATACGTGGAACATCTTGGAGTCAAGACATGTTTCTCTATCATTTCCTTCTCGGTCACCTGGCTCCGTTATGTTTATGACATTCTCTTCTTAACTTCTTGAAGATTCGACGTCTCTGCACTCCATCATAAGCTCAACCAGGTCGAGTCCTCTTTCCAGTTCACACTCGACGAGAAAGTCGATGGCACTAAAACTCTCCACGATGTTCTACTTTGCAAATCTGATCATGAACTACGTTTCAACGTTCCCCGCAAACCTATCAAACAGCAGAACCATCACTACTGCTCGCACCAAGATACCAAGGCTCAACGAGGCGCACCAGAGGCTGCTTCCTAAATGCTCTCCGTATTTGCAGCAGTGAATTCCTTGAAGAAAAAAGCTCCATCCTAGAACAGATGTTTTCAAAGCTTCACTATCCTCGTCATTTAACCAGAGACTGCAAGCGACGTGCGTAAAAACCTTCAAATCACCAAGACGAGGCAACGGAAAGAAGATAAATAGCCCTTCATAACAACTCTACTAATATACAGCTTGTCAGAGGATAAAACAATATGTGTAGAAGTAGGGTAGCTGTTGGGCTAGTAATTTTGAGTTGTATGTGCCTTCATATAGATAAACCGTTCTGTTTGTTTATAAGATGTTTGTGGTTCCTCTCCCTTTCCAGAAACGTAGCCCCGGCGTGACCTACCTTGGTTCTGCGGCGTGGATACACTGATCATGGTGGTGACGAGGGAGGCTATCCGCACAGCCTCCAGGGAGGAGGTGGAGAGGTCACGGTAGAGCTTGTAGAGATGGTAAACTGTGAGCAGCACCACCAGCACGTTGGTGACGATCCACAACACGTTGAGCACATAGTGACGCAACGGACCTGTGATCAGCGGACATGACGGGGCGTTGTGCTCCTGCAGGTAGGAGAAATATGAGAGTGAGAGAGAGAGAGAGAGAGAGAGAGAGAGAGAGAGAGAGAGAGAGAGAGAGAGAGAGAGAGAGAGAGAAAGGAAGGGAGAGGGATGATGAACCAACGATTTGAAAAGGTGGTCGTCGTGTAATCAAGAAGAGCAGTGGAATCAAGAAGAGGGTAGACTAACAGAGACTGGAAAACATCTCTAGATCAATAAATGATTTTAAAATTTGCTGAGCGAAGTGGATACATCATAATCAATTACCCCTGATAATGCATCTTCATGAGGATTTGAAATAATGAACAAAAGCACTCTGTGAAAGCGACAAAAATCTTAACAACTGACTGAAAATGGGGTAGATGCTAATAAGATATAAAATATAACAGCAATATTCAAGCACGGGAACAGACACAAATAATTCTAAACTCCAGACATAAAGTGTTGATATGGGTAATTCTCAAGATATCTCATATGTTCTGAAGGACAATGGTTACGTGCATAGAGAACTAATGATTATGAAAGTGGGGAAACAAGATAGTTCGACAGGGGTAAATCCGTCTTACGACACTAGTGAAGTTCTTAAACACGGTGACACATATAAAGCAGGAAAGAGAAAAGCATAAGTACAGAACGTAGAAGTCATTTATTGCTGTACCACAACAAGTATTTTCACAACTAGAGGATCAGACAGGTATAACGAGACTTCCTCAGGACAGAAATATCGTGTTGGTTAGAGAAAATGCGAGTACAAACAAGTGAGCACTCACAAAAATCCACACACAGGTGGGACCAGGAGCTCTGTGACCCCTGCAAACACAAATAGGTGAGTAAACACACACACAAACACACCAATTACAATACACACCCTCTATTCCTTCCCTTGAATCTATCTATCACCTTTAATATCGTCCTACCACATCCTTCGACACCTATTTAACTTTCAGAATGTCAGATACCTGGAGTTTACCTGGAGAGAGTTCCGGGGGTCAACGCCCCCGCGGCCCGCCGGGGGTACTATACTTCAGCGGCCCGGAAGTATAGTGGCAAGATAAAAATAATCTTCACTGAGACAACAACCAGAGAAGCAATCAAAGACGTCAGGTAGACCTACATGAAGACAATCATGCAATCTGACACATAAAATCAGTTGAAGAAGAAATTCAACGATGTTGGGAAAAAGCTAAGCGGAGATCTCAGTAACAAGTGAGGGAGAGAAAAAAAAAAACAGCAAAACTCGTGAAATCAGATAATGATTACCAGCACGTAAGAGAGATGATAACAGACAAGCAGACATACAGACAGCTAACGAGGATGTAGGGAAAGTTTGACAGATTAAAAGCAGACAGGAAGATGAGAGAAGAAACATAAGAGGACATCAAAAGAATATATAACAAAACACTGTTAATGAAGTCAGAAGCAAAAACGCAAACGCAGCCTTCTCTAAACCATTACAGTGGTGTGAGAGGGCAAATGTATAATATTTCTGATTGCATATAATCAAGCTTACAGTGGTAGAACATGAAGCAGCCAGACTAAACAAGGCACACAAGGAAACTCAAGACACGCGGGGAGACATGCGTAAGCACATGGGAAAACACGCAAAGGCACAGGGAGACACCTATAGACACGCGGGAAGGAAAGCACAGTCACAGGAAAACACCTACAGACAGACGGAGAGGCAAACACAAACACAGGAAGACACGGGAAGGTATGCACAAACACAGGAAGACACGGGAAGGTATGCACAAACAAGGGAGACACGTACAGACACACGGAAAGGCAAGCACAGACACAGGGAGACACGCCCACCTCGTCTATATTAGCGGCGAGCGCCCCAGAGAGAAAGGTGGGTCCCAGGTTGATGGTGATGGAGGCAAACCATATCATGAAGGTGCCGAAGAGAACGCACTGCGGCGACTCCATCAGCAGCGGCATTGTCTTGTGGTCAGAGTCCTCTGGTAGCAGCGGCGCGTCGTTCAACACCTGAGGAAAACGACAACCAGGTGGGGCGACCGTGCTACTGCCTGGTGCAGTACTCCAGGGGATGGGGTTAATAAGGAAGAGGCGGATCTGGGGCAATGAGGACAATATATTACTGGAAGAGGCGGACGAGACAGCTAGGATGAAGGGGAGACAGGAGAGATTATTTTATTTTGTCATATTTAGTGATTCATATTAGATTTGCAGCATTATTTAATTACCCAGGAATTTCCTTTTTTTGTAGTCTGTTGTTGTAGCAATGCTGGCCTTGCAGTACTCACTTAGTTCCACTCACCTAGTTGTGGTTGCAGGGGTCGAGTCACAGCTCCTGGCCCCGCCTCTTCACTGGCCGCTACTAGGTCACTCTTCCTGCTCCATGAGCTTTATCAAACCTCTTCTTAAAGCTAAGTATAGATCCTGCCTTCACTAAATCACTTCCCAGACTATTCCACTTCCTGTTGACTTAAAATTATTTTGAATGTCTTTTGTAGTTCCCATTCCTGTGATAGACTGGTCCCGTTGCATCATCTACCAAGAAAATCTCGAAAAAAAATTATAGTGGCCAGTTCTCAGCAGGAACAAGAATAAGAACAGAGTTCGTGCATTTGAGTTGTTTTGTTGATGCTCTCTTGGCCTACTATGCTACTGGTGGCAGAAAGTTGATATTTGTTCTTCAAGACTTTTTCTTTGCTGCCAAACTGTCCGAAAGGTAATATAAAAGTTACCGAAATTGCTACTGAAAGCTGGTGAAAGCAGCCACATGGCCAACATCCTACTCTGGGTCTTAATTTAACTGGGAATCAGCAACTGACTTACAGTCCTGCTGTCTGCTCTGTGAACAAGAGGTTGGTGCCAAGCGACCTCTTCACTCGCTCCGGAAAGTTACCCTTGTTGAAAAACTCACGAAACAAAGCGATGCCTCGAAGAAGAGGCAGAAACTGTGATAGGCAGGATATTATAACATTCACTGGTATACGATTATGTGGTGCATGATGCGTGATGCGCACCGAGTACGTCATTTTCATTCTGCGTGCATCACATGCAACCAGACATAATGCATTCCATCAATAACACTGGACATCAATAAATCTGCTGCTTCTATAAATGAAAGCGCTTTAGATTACATTTTATCATGCTAAATTTGAAGTCAGAATAACTTATCACATAGAATATTGGCAACACATGTGGGTCTATGTTACCCGGAGTACACCTCTTGGGCGTTCTGGGGGTCAGCGCCCCCGCGGCCCGGTCCATGACCAGGCCTCGCATGTAATAATTTGAATACAACTCTGAGAAAAAGCCTTGTGGCTGTCTGCTTACATGCATAAACACGACTCATGCGTACCATGTCTGATTGTCAGGAACAGTCTGAGAGCATCAGTTGTGCTCTAGTCGTCTCAGTGTTCAGACATATTTACAGAATGTTACTATTCACTGTGTACATTTTTTTTTTTCCCTAAAATTGTCATTCTTCGCCACATACACATATCCACATTTACATTCGATATATTTTGCTGTTATATGAAATTTTTATTTCAGATTAACATGCACATATGAGGATGTCTTAACAGTGCAAATTATTATTGTAATCATAGCAAAGCGCTAAACTCAAAAGGGTCATAGAGCTGAACAGTGCAGATAGCTTTTGCTATGTATGTAGCATGTATGCACTACGTGATCAAGAAAAACATAATAAATCGAATCAAGCACCATTTGGGTTGCAAGATAGTTGATCGAGATAAAACACAGACTCCAAACACGTACCGTATTCTTTGTGCCTCTGGACTGACACAATGGATGACAGGGAAACGTACATCAATGCCATTTGGAGTCTCAATGGTGTGGTCACAACCAGAGAATCATCTGAATAACTGTTGGTTCTGTATGGCTCAAGTTGTTAGTTTCACGAAGGGAACCAAGAACAGAGCCAGACTGGGAGTCATCATTAAAGTCTGTGTTACATAGTAAAGACACTGCTGTACCTGTGTCACAGTGAAGTCACTGCTATACCTGTGTCACAGTGAAGTCACTGCTATACCTGTGTCACATAGTGAAGTCACTGCTATACCTGTTCCACCAGTTGCTTATGACACTGCAGTGAAAAAACTGATAAAACTGATCTGAGACTTTGTAACAACCTCAATCATTCTACTGTAGTTATATAACCCTGTCAGTGACCTCTTCCTATCGAAGTACAAGACAGAATTCCTTGGATCCCGCTTTTAGCAGAAAGAAGAAAACTATCTGGTGTCATGCACACCATACTAACTTAGCCGGATTCTATTAAATGGATAATGATGGTCAACATTCTTACGAAAGAACTAGGCTATGAACACCATTCTCATTAATGTAGGTTATTAATCGGTTCCAGGAAGGTCAGTTTGATAGCAGTGCTCCTTGAAAATGGCAATGGAAATCCATCTATGCCAGTGACTCGTATCGTAGCAAACGAGTCCAAGGAAACTGTACTCAAACTAACCAAATACAACGACCACAAATGGAATAGTAATGGTCTCAAACTTGTTTATACGCTAACCACTAAAAGATCAAAGAATGGCCGGCAAGAAAAGACCAGATTCCAGGAACATTCAACATACACCATATGCCATTGGTGTATGCTTGAAAGATATTATTTAAAGATATTATTTTTGCAGGATTTCTTTATATAAATGAAAAATTTGGAGGAGTTTTAAATGATGCAAAACCTATGGCCAGAGTATTTGTTGGGCACACATGTATGAGCTCTTACCCGAACCAGTTTTAATTGGAAAACTGACCCCACTGGAGCTAGGCTGCATGGGAAGCCTTCAGACAATTATGCAGAGTTAATACACAACATCACAGACGACTATAGAGCTTTGGCTTGACGTATATCCCTGTCAATGAACTTTCTTCATTCACACCTGAACGTCTTTCCATCCAATCCTGATGCTGTTAGTGATAAGCATGGTGAAAGGTTTTTCCAGAATATCAGTACAATGAAGGAACGCTATCAGGGGCGTTTCAGTCCCAACATGATAGGGGATTATCGTTGGTTTCTTCACAGAGACACCACTGTTAGTTATAACATGATATGGGACTATTGTTGGTTTCTTCAGAGACACCACTGTTAGTTATAACATGATAGGGGGGACTATTGTTGGTTTCTTCAGAGAGACATCACTGTTAGTTATAACATGATAGGGGGGACTATTGTTGGTTTCTTCAGAGAGACATCACTGTTAGTTATAACATGATATGGGACTATTGTTGGTTTCTTCAGAGACACCACTGTTAGTTATAACATGATAGGGGGGACTATTGTTGGTTTCTTCAGAGAGACATCACTGTTAGTTATAACATGATAGGGGGGACTATTGTTGGTTTCTTCAGAGAGACATCACTGTTAGTTATAACATGATAGGGGAGACTATTGTTGGTTTCTTCAGAGAGACACCACTGTACCACTTTAGTCATAAGCGTAAACTTAAATGCTTAAAGCATTTTAAAATGCTTTCTACTTCCAGCAAGAATATGTTCCTTAATGTTCTTAAAACATAGTTTATTAGTTACTTTATTATAGGGAGTAAGTTATTAATAACGCATTATATTGCCTATGCTGTAAATTTTGATGCAATATAATTTATAGATGAATAATTCTTGAAATCATATGCTTTCCAATAACTGAAAATCTTGATTTGCTAGCTCAATTTCGACTTCAAATTTGGAATCAGCATGTTCATATTGCATTTAGAACACCTTCAATCATCTCGGTAGAAGACCGGATATTTTGTGCTTGTTGTCAAGTGTAATCAGCTAAAAGCCAGGTTGCTTACTGGCACTGTGAGTGAAGTGGCCACCTGATATGCCAATATGAAAGCATCAGAGTGAGGAGGAGGGTGGACGTTAAGCTATCTTTCCTTGTAAATATAATTCACCACGAAGGCCCCTCATCAGTTCTGTTCACTGTATGGTGTACAAGCTTTAGCCAGCGAGAGTACTCTTTTCCCCAAGTTCCCCAGTCACTGGAAGGTTTGCCCACAGAGAAGGAATCTTGAAGGATTTCACTCGGTGTTTCTTCAACTCTTTTAATCAGAGCTGAGAAAAATGTCACAGACTGATTTCACCGAGGACATGTACCGAGAAGTGTCCATGCAGGTAGGGATTCGGGATGACCGTGAGTCCAGGTGGGATCGAAGGTGAGAATTTCGATGGACTGGTTTAACTTTCAGGGCAGCAGTTTCAACAATATTATTTTCTTCTGATTTCTTAGGAAATAACCTATTCATTGATCACACTTCCTAGAAGATCTGTTCATCACACGTGATGACAAGCAGTTGGGCATCGAAGTCCAGGAGAACCTGACGCACGGACTGTCCTCTATAACGCTCATGCACTGAATTAGAGTTTCGAATGTGCTGCTGAAGACTTCAGGCTCCGATGTAATCATCAGTCTTGTCTCTCACTCTCTTGTCAATGTAAGTTGTCTAGTACTGTGTGTTTTATATTTTGATGTAAGTCATAAGTATTGTTGTGAAATTTATCTTATGTTTAAATCTTAACTATCATTGCATTGTTTTGGTTTTAACGCCAGATGATTTATATTACCAAGTTCTTTAAAGTCCTCAACAATATTTTTGTCTGAGTATCTCGTTACTTCTAATATTTTGCTCTTAGGTCCATCATACCTGTGAGTCAGAGAGGAATAGCATATAGCATTATGGTTCACCCTTAAGACATTGCTCTCCATGTACATTTATGGATGAAAACCCTTTCCTAAAATCTTACATTCCTTGTGATCTCCGTGTGTCAATCATTTAACAGAATGGGAAAACTGAGTGACAAATACTTGTGAGACCAGAGAAGGAAGCAGTAAGCCCCGTCCGGTCACATAGTACCTACAAAATAACACCATTATTTATTGGCTCGTAAACCCAGGTAGCATTAACGTCTTTGCTATGACTTATTTACCAGGCAGTAGCAATACCGTTGTCTGGCCTTGTTTATCCAGACAAAAGCAACAC